CTACCGAGTAAAGATACAGCTGAGAACGTTGTTTCTGTCTGCTCGTTGTATATCACTGAGTGGTTGTATGATGCAGTGTAAATACCTTGCAATGAGCGAAATATTCTAGCAGTCATTGTCAAAATTTCTTAGTAACGAAAACGTGTGCTTGTTCTTCTTGTAGGAACGGTATTTCCGCCTGTAATACAACACTTACTAGTTCTCCTCATCCTTCCCTAAAGGGGGCGGTGGGGTAGCCTAGTGGTTAAAGCGTTAGCTCGTCACGCCATAGACCCGGGTTCGAATCCCCACATGGGTACAATGTGTGAAGCCCATTTCTGGTGTCCCCGCCGTGATGTTGCTGGAATATTGCTAAAAGCGGCGTAAAACAAAACTCAGTCTGTCAGTCCTTCCCTAAGGTGCTCTTGGACGCCGTCAAATGACCATAGCACTTTCAAAGCAGTCTCACTATAACATGTACATCTATTTATTAGAGAAGCATTAGGTTGTAGCTCACGACAACTTTTAGTCTCTGGTACTATCACAATACTTGACAACTTGTGTTCGACTTCTTTTAGTGGCATTTTAGAAGTTGAAAAGTACAATATAGAACAACTTCATTTATTCATGAGTACAACGTTTCGATACAGATTCTTGTACCGCTGTCAAGCTTGTTTCAATAGGTTTCAAGCTTGACAATGGTACAGAATCTGTATCGAAACGTCACACTCACGAATAAAAGAAGTTGTTATCCATAAAGTTTGTTCTAACTTGTGTTTGCTGTAATCGTCTCTGACTTGACGGTATCTACTTTGTAGCTCGAAGCTGGTAGGACAATCACTAACCTCAGCGGTACTAGCTGTAGGACCGAGTGGAGCTCTCAGGCTTTCATCAGCTGTACTAGCTGTGTCTATAGGCCCATTGACCGAATCACGTCCGCCATCGTGTAGGCCATTCAACTGGCCATTCCCTTAACAATGCCACTTAGTTTGCGTTCGATGTTGTCTTTTATACGACCGAAAACAAACCGAAAGTCTGCTAATCTCTTTCGAGACTCGCTGAAAATCTTCTGACATGTCCTGAATTTAGACCTGAGTTTTCTTACATCTACTAGTTTTTCCCTCAGCTTAAACGATGTGTTCTGCCGGCGAGAGTACATCTGGCAAGAATGGTAACTCTGGAAGAAGCAAACCGTTACTTTCAGTAATACAAACAGAGTTATTCCCCTTGATTGGAATTGTGAGTACGATTATCGATGACTATGATCTATATCGATAGCCAGCCCTTGCAATAAAGAATAACGAAACTACTCTCTACAAGGTTGTATGACAAGAAGGAGGGCATCAATTTTCCAATAGTCAACTTTCACTTTCCGTCCAGCAAGATTCGAACAGCTCCAGCTTAGAACATTTGTGGTACAATCGAGCATACGCTCTGCGTCAAGATTTCAAGGAGCGTCATGTTACTCCTGCTCAGGATTTGTTCGATTTAAGACTTTTAAGGCTTTTGCTGTTTTGCATTACTTTTGTAAACTGAACGGCCTTCTCAGGACTAGGAAACATAAGAGAAAGCAAATAATTATAACATATACTTAGTGCAAATTGTCAGAGAACACCGTACTTCATACTTCCGTACTATGATACTATAAATGTATTGGAAGTTATGAGTAGAGGTACTGAGCGTCTAATAAATGTACAAGTGTTTGGATTCTTGAACCTTCGACACAACACAATATGCACGTGCTAAATATTTAAGTCGACGTAAGAATGCATCCCAAACAGAAACGTAGGATTTGGTAATACTCAGCATGCTACTCTTCACAGATACTCGTAAGCTTGACAAGTTAAAACTATAACTACTGGATATCTCGATTTCCGGGAAGAGCAATCATTATATTCCGATGTAGTGACTGACCCTCCAAATCGATCATTTAAAACGAGGGGCGGTGGGGTAGCCTAGTGGTTAAAGTGTTGGCTCGTCACGTTGAACACCCGGGTTCGATTCCCCACATGGGTACAATGTATGAAGCCCATTTCTGGTGTCCCCCGCCGTGATATTGCTGGAATATTGCTAAAAGCGGCCACCCACCCACCCACTCACCTCACTCACTCACTCACACTCACTCACTCACTCAACCCGTAAAGGTCCGGGTTAGAATATTGATCTTCAGTAACCAGTGCTTGTCGTAAGAGGCGATTGACGGGATCGGGTGGTCAGGCTCGCTGACTTGGTTGCCACATATCATCGGTTCAAAATTGCGCAAATCGATGCTCATGCTGTTGATCACTGGGTTGTCTGGTCCAGACTCGCTTATTTACAGACCGACGCCATATAGCTGGAGTATTGCTGAATGCTGCGTAAAACTAAACTCATTCACTCACTGACTCCCTTCACTGTGTTGAGCATACGGATCCACTTACTAGGGATATCAAATGATTTTACGGACGGTGAAATTATCGGAAGATTTATATTTAGCATTTGTCACCCAATATTTTATATCTCTCTCATTTTGCAACCCATTATTTGGCAAGGTTAAAAAATGCTCTGAAATGTCATTCACAGTGCTACATTTTAAACCCTGTGTGTGTGACCTTTCCACTCATAACCAAAATATTTGAAGAACCCGTGTATGCAAATATGCAACACGTACATGTCTTTCTTTTCACACCGTGAACAAGGAATTGATTGATTGTATTGTGCTGTTGCATATGTGACTGGTTTATTTCTGTGTTTGTTTTCACAAAAATATATACTATTAGGATATCACCGGCATACCTTATAAACTAAATAAAGTCAGTCTTAGTCTGATGGTCACGCCGCCATATAGCTAGCCTATTGCTGAGTGTTAAAGGGTTAAACAAACAAACAAATAAACAAACAATGGCACAGGATGTGAGCTCAAGGCAACTACAAACGAGAACTAAGCAGCACCCATCAATTTCATAACCGTACCTAATATGTAGAAATATAAATGATGTACAATCTAGATAGTTAAACACTTTTGTGTCGAACTTACGATAGTCTCGAAGAAAAAGCATGCTCGCTGCGTACTCCTATTAGACATCATTTTGCGGTTGTGTCGAATTTCGGATGACTCGAAGTGTTTCCCTTCAAAGTCGACATAATGGTGTTTCACTGTTCAGTGGGCTTTGTTCACGTGCAGTTGTCAAGACACTGTTTGATATTACGTATCGACAGAGACCATATAATAGATCTATTATATGGTCTCTGGTATCGATAAAACTACTATCACTTATAACAGATGTTACCCTGACTGACGTATTGAGGACAATGTCACATTGACATTATTCAGATATCTGACAACTGCAAACTTCCACAATTGATGATATCTGATATTTCAGCGATGCTATTAAAGAACCATTGCTCATTCGTTACACAAGGTGGATATTTTTCAGATTTAAGTTTACAACCAAAGTCTGAAACAAGCCTCTTGGTGACGCAAAAGGCAAAGGTATTATTGAAGCCACGATGGCTGACTGGGTTAGAAGGCTGACTTTCTGTGCTGGCGATTAGGTGCCTAAGCTTAGTTTTACGCCGCAGTATTCCAGCTATATGACGGCCCTGACTCTGAGAGTATGGATTCGAATCTCGTATGGGACTTAACCTAACAGTACTAGAAGTACTAGAATCTGTACTCCATGAGAAAGTGAAATCACAAATAATATATATGTTACATTTAACCACTTTCCAAATGGCATTGTGTGTTCATGTTAAGGTGTCAACAAAGGATTTGATGACAACTCCAAACTTGTCCAGGATGTGGTGCCCACTTCCAGTCCATACATGGATGTATGGACGAGGTCATGCTTGGCAGTCTGTAGTTAGGGCGTTCGTTATCTGTTGTTGTTTTATACATGCTTTGTTCCTTTATTCGTTGTTTAACGCCGCACTCTTGGGGCAGTGAGGTAGCCTAGTGGTTAAAGCGTTGGCTCGTCACGCCGAAGACCCGGGTTCGATTCCCCACATGGGCACAATGTGTTAAGCCCATTTCTGGTGTCCCCCGCCGTGATATTGCTGGAATATTGCTAAAAGCGGCGTAAAACTAAACTCAGTCAGTTGATAGCATGAGCATCAATCAACGCATCTGGGATGCGATGACATGTGTCAACCAAGTCAGCGAGCCTGACCACGGGATCCCGTTAGTTACCTCTTACAACACGCAGGGGGTTGCTTCAACCGTAAAGGAATGTTCAGTGACACCGAAAACAGTGTATAGTCTGTTTGCAGTGAAAACGTACCGATGAATTTCACTCTAAACAAAAAACTATTACAAGGGGCTAAGCGCAGTAGATGGAACAGTGTAAAAAATGCACATGCGGTACGTGAAGAGCGTTAACTTAGACCAGCCCTACTTGTTCTCGGTGTTTCATCTAATGTGCATATCCCGTTGTAATACAAAGTAACCAATATTAGCGATTTGAAACCATGATCGTTTGTTAAACAACTTTTATCCTAAGTTGAATAAACTTCTGAGAATTCAATGTTCAATTGGCAAGGTAAAATTATGCGGATTCGCAATCCTAATTTCGCTTTAATCGATTAACTTTTTTGTTTAGAGTGAAATTCATCGGTACGTTTTCACTGCAAACAGACTATAGGAAGAACTCGAAGGGAGCTAACTCTTGTCTCAGCTCTCAATTTACATCTCAAGCCACGAGAAAACCAGCACTTTGAGTGATGATCGTTAAACCCTGCCAGGTCTAGTTGCAGTTGAATATTGCCATAATTGTCTTTATTGACATAATAACAGCTCTTCAATTACCTTTGGATTTGTACTGCAATAGTGATAGTATGGATTTGTGAACTAATGGGACTTTAGAATATAATTGTTACTGATATAATATTGCTTTGCGGTTTGTTGGTTTCTCGCCTAGTTCCTTTACGGACTGATTCCCGGTTAACCTTTTAGTTTCAAAATGGGAATCAGGTCGTAACACTGTATTTATTTTTAACAGTCATAGCGTCACTAAAGTCGCATTTCCTAAAACATAATACACAGATGTTGTTTGAGAATATTTATTTCATTTTCAGTCAAAAAATGATCTGGAAGGTATGACGTCACACAGGTTGTCAACCTTTCGTGTCTGAAATGTGAAAATACAACATCAAAAGACAAATACGTGAATTATGTCTATCGTTTATGTAAAGAAATAAATCAAGATTTAGAATAGGTATAGATTTAGATGAGTCTAATGTAGTTTTCTTAGGAAACATAACGTACCTCGTCGATCTGTCCGCAGAATTCCACAGACACCTTCGAGTTGGTCATGCCAGATCATTTTCCTCTTTGCTTGTGCTTCATTACCCTTAACCGCTATGCACCACAGGCCATTCGCGCACCTGTTACAGAAAGGAACATGTGATTGTAAACATGGGACAATTCACGATCAAATAAGCAATATCAAAATGTTTTTCGTGTTCTTTGAGGATATTTTCAAAAATGAAATTCCCCTTCGTTCCGCATAACGATGTAGTGAAGCGTCTAAGATCAAGTTTCCATTGAAAATGTGCATTTAATGATAAAAGCACACAAGTTGCTCATCATTTTCAAGAACATTTCTGAAATAATTTCCGATATGGAGGCACACGATGCGTCTGTGTGCGCATGTGCAGTAGACAAAAATGCCGTACATTTAGTCAGACTAGCCAATCATTACAAATATTTCACTGTTTAATGATTTACAGTTACAGGAAAAGATAAGAAATAGTTACTTTACATGAATATGAAACATCACCAAAATATAAATGCCCCTTCATCCAAAATGGCAGGTAGCAGACAGTTTTTCGAATATGGAGCACCATGACAAAAGATAAGTATGTTATGGTTTCATTGGCCAATACTGACTGACAATGCACATACTATTTGACAAAAGAACTCTAGGTCAAGAATTCATAACCTAAGGTTTTGGATATATTTAACTATAAAAGTCATTCGGCTCAAGAGCAAGTGTGGCAGATAATCCAGATTTGCCTTTTGCAAGGGAGCACATCATTATTTTATTTCAGTAAACATCACTAATCCGCACTTTTATTATCAATATTTTTTTAAAAACAAGTAACATTATTGCAATTCAGTGAGAAAATTTGACTAATTGGATTTTACAAATGTCAGATAAAATATTTTTGGTATTTCCTTTGAGAAAATACATTTCAGTATAAAGAAATTGTGAGGTTTTCGTTTCAAGAAAGTTAATGATGATACACTAAGTCTATGTTCATAAAATATTTAATTAGAAACAGAAAAGTCATGGTGACACAATAATCATCTTCGCTTATCGGCCCCGTGACAGTTATACTACAAATGGCAAGTTACAATATTGAGTTTAGAGTTCATGCTCAACGCCACAATTAAATATATCCAAGTGCATTAATCATGCAATAACCCCCTTGTTTAAGATGATTACAAAAATATATGTTGTTGCATATGCTTTGAAAACCAAAATTACACGGATAAATATGGTAACTGTAACACATTTCAACAAAAACAAAACTGAAATTAACGTGAACATCAACAATGCTGGAAAGTATGGTCACCATTACTACCCCACAAATCTGATTGTCGCAGTTTTTAAACAATGGTTGTTCTGATTATATGGACCACCACAGGCGACCACACCAGTATTATGTGTAGCCATCAAGGATCGTATTATTGGCATCTGTTTCCTCTGCCATTCCCGATACTGTGTATGCCTCAATTCTTCACTTTGAACAAGATAAGGTCCAGCTCGAACTTAGCGTCTAACATAGTCCGAAACAGATGTTCAATGGGGTTTATATCGGGGCTCCTTGCGGGCACCTTTGTGATTTCCCTCCTTGTGGGCCTTTGTGTGTCCTAGGTATTGTAATGATATCCAACTTGCAGCCACACGAAACGCAACCCCACACCATCACTGATGGGATTAGCTGCATGGATCATCTCCAGATAATACGACGTTTCTATACGTAACAACGGCCGTGGGCAATGTGTAGAAAAAGTGACTATCATAAGTGCTTTCACACTGGTACGAAATGTGACCTGTAAGCATGTGTTACAGCAATATCAGAAGAGCCAACAACTGTTACCACTTTCGTTATTGACGGAGCTCTCACTGTTCAAAATATGAAACCTGGTACAGTCAAAACATTTGATGAATATGTCTCTTGGAGTCACCAAGAAACCGATATTCGCATCATACTTCATGTTGCTCATGCTGCAAAACATGGCCATGAAAAGATTATGTTGCGAACAGTAGCTGCAGATGTTGTAGTGCTTGCAGTAACGCTCAAAACATGCTATCCCACCAACGCATGCAGCTCTTGTACAACATGTTAAAACAGCTTGCCAGGCAGGACAAGTATTAAGTCAATTCTTCCACAGCTTTAACTCTTGATAAAGCAGGAAAGTGGTAAATATGTTCCCTAATGGACGACACTTCACCACGCATCAACATCTTGTCAGGAGTTTGGTCTCTTGTTGCCGCAGAAAGGGTGTAACAACATATGCAAGTGCAAACAGTCCTCATGTAAATGAACAGGACTCTGTTGGTGTGAGAGCCAATGTTAATAAAACTGACTCTCCTTTATTTTCATGACATTTAACCAGAATATATGGATCATTATTATTTTGGTTACAATTTCCCTCTTATGCATTGATGGTCTTTGGAAAGCTGAAGCAGTAACAAAAAAGTAGTATTGACCTTCTGCAAATGCCCGTGAAAATGCGAGTTCGAATTGGTTTTCTGGAATCCATGCTTGTCGTAGAAGGCGACTAACGGGATCGGATGGTCACCCTCGCTGACATTTTTCAAGCACTCCACAGCAATACACCCCCTCTTTAAAGCGAATACAGCACGTTCTGTATGTTGAGTGTAACATTCTACTGCAGGCTTGCCATGGGTTTGTGTGAAGGCTCGTTTGTGTACGGGAGGCTGATGTCAAATTGTAAACCCTTATTGATTCGGGTTAGACAACAAGATCGGGTGGTGAAACTCGCTGACTTGGTTGTCATATGTTATTATATTCCAACTGCGTAGATCGATGCCTATGCTGTTGATCTCCCCCAGATCCATGCCTTCACGACCACTTGTCTCAATGATCCGATACCAACTTCTCTTCTGATTGAGCACCTAACTCTGCTTCGACCAAATTTAACGGAAATCATCAACAAGAGTCTGCCATCTGGGATTTTACACATATACTGAAAGATGCTGTTATCAAGTCACCAGTTAAGAACTCAAAACGTGACAAAAATGACTTTAAAAACTACCGCCCCCATCTCGAATCTCACTTTCACAGAAGACTACTCTGTCATGTTGAGTTCCGCAGGGATCCATTCTAGGCCCAGTGCTCTTCCTGATCAACCAACTCTCTCTGATCAGAGACAAATTCTCAACACTACACTTTTTCTATGCAGACGATAACCAACTCCTGACAAAGTTTAAATCAAACAATGCCCAATTAACGATCAAACAGACTGAGAAGTGTTCTTTGGAAATCGAGACATGTATGACGGGCAAAAAACTAAACCTTAATGACACTAAAACAAAGGTTTTAATTGTTTAAAAACAAAAGAGCCTGGAGAAATTGAACAAGGGTAGTTTGAAGATTGGTTCAGCTAGCATCACGCCGTCAGATGTGATAAAAGATCTTGGTGTTTACATCGATACAGGCCTGTCTCTAGATTCGCAAGTGGATAAGTTGTGTCATACCTGCTATAATCACCTCAGACTCATTGGGAAGATCAGGAAGCACATCACTATGGGAAGTGCCCACACTCTTATGCGATGCCTTGTTATATCTAGATTGGATTACTGTAATAGCCTTCTTTACAGACTCACCAACGGACATCTCTACAACTACAAAAAGTCCAAAATACAGCAACTCTTATTATATCCCTTAACACTTAACGAGAACGTATCACCCTGTACTCTCATCATTACATTGGCGCACAGTCAAGATCCGGATAGACTTCAAACTTCTTTACGTTGTGCATAAATGTTTGCAGAATCAAGTTCCTTCGTATCTCTCTGAACTTTTCACTGTGTACTCCCTTACCAGAACTTTCAGATCCCAAGACCAATATCTCTTCCCCGTTCCCTTTCTTCCTTGGCAAGATGTCTTTCCAGTACGCTGGTCCTACTTTGTGGAATTCTCTCCCTCTCCACATAAAGCAGTCTCCCATATTGGAAGCTTTCAAAATTAAGTAAAAAACCTTCTTTTTCTCAAAAGCCTATTTGTAAAATCTTTTTGACATCAGTTTCAATGTATGCTTATTTACAAATTTATCATATGTATGTATTATATGTATGCTTTTATGTAGCGCCTTGAGCATGTACCAGTTAGCGGATAATGGCGTGCTAAAAATATCCATTTTTATTTATTATTATTGATTGTCTGGTCCAAAGTCGAGTATTTACAGACCGCTTCTATATAGCTGAGTGCGGCCTTAACAACAAACAAACAAAACCCAAAGCCCAAATTATTTTGAGTGCCTCTATACCTGAAAATGTTCACTATGCATCAGTCAATAAATGTGCAAAGTTGTATGCTTTTAAGAATCCACCCAAAACAGAAACGCAGAATTTGGTAATACCCAGCATGATCTGTCGCTATTCTACAGAGATGCTCGTATGCTTGACAAGTTAAAGCTATAATTACTAGGCATCTCGATTTCCGGGAAGGCAATCATTAAATTCCGATGTAGTGACTGACCCTGTAAATCGATCATTTAAAATCAGGGGCAGTGGGGTAGCCTAGTGGTTAAAGTGTTGGTTCGTCAGGCCGAAGACCCGGGTCAGATTCCCCCGCATGGGTACAATGTGTGGGACCAATTTCTGGTGCTTCCCGCCGTGATATTGCTGGAATATTGCTATAAGCGGTGTAAAAGCAAACTCACTCACTCACTTATTCAAAAGCATGTACTACTCACTGATTAAATCCAGAGCAAGAGTCTCCGACTCTTCCACCACAAATGTCACAGCAACCACAGAGGTCCTTGATCTGGTGCTTCGGTTTGCATTTTGGACTCACGCACTTGCTTTCGTCACACAGCAGGCAAGACAGGCCATTAGACAAGTCGACGAAGACCACACCGAGGATGATCCCCACCATCAAGAATATACGGCTCATTGCTCCTGAAGTTCGCTGTGATATGTCAGTTCAGACTTTAGCTGAAAGAGTTACTTACAACAAGCTGTGAGCTATATTTATACCCTCTCAAGAAGCAAAAATATGTTATTGACGGTGTGCAGAAGACTGACGCAGCAGGTGGCACAATGCCACCGCCCACAGTACTGGCAAGCATATGTGCACATCTGTGACTGTAAGAACCTATTTTGAATGCTTTGCATTTCCATACGTTTGCCATGTACCACGTTAATAATTTATCTGAATAAATACGTTCTTTATACGATTCTTATTGTATCACAAGCTGGTGTTTATGCAACACTGTCACATATTGATTACACCAGGACTTATGGGTTCTAATCATCAGGATCAGGGTATACCATAAGTGAAGCGGTGGATAGGTGAAGCGTGCAAGAGCATCTTGCGTCCTACGTCAAGGCCAACGAGCCATCTTTCAAACATCCCTGCATCAAATTGTCTTTAGAATATATTACGATATTCTAATGCGTCCATCAATGCATACAGCTGTGATATTAATCCTCTTTGTGAGGATCTATACGATACGAAATCCTCTCTAAGAATACGAATTCAAACTTTCATTTCTTTTAGAAAATATATCACCTTTCCGCCCGCTTTCTTCCTCCACAGATGGATCTTACATTAAGAAAATGTACGAAATCAGAAAGCAACCAACTGATCTATACTAGGCACATAACGAAACTGTGCATACAAAAATTTAAAATCAAAATTTATCAAACATGTGTAGACACATAAGGATTTAAACTCAGAGATTAGTGACATGTATCCAACATGCATGCACGTGCCATGTTCCTTGACGTCAGTGGGTTCGTCCTTGAGACGTGCAATACGTTGTTGCACGTGCATTCCGGGAAAGAGAAACAGAGCAAATGCATGCCACACAATACTGTCACTGTGGAAAGCTCAACCCCTGCCCTTGCGATCGTTCAAAAATTAAACGGCTATTGAAACGCATAGCATTTGCCAAGGCTCACGTCTGCACAACGTCATGAGGCCATTAGGATGGTCCGTGGGGGAATGTCTCAACGACAAGTGGCTGCACATTTCCACTGCCACCGGAACACCATTTCTGCACTGGTGAGACGCTACCAGAACACAAATGACGTCATCGATCGGTCACGTTCTGGACGTCCACGTGTAACAACGCCAAGACAGGACAGATGGATAAGGGTGACCCATCTTCGCCACAGGTTTCAGACTGCAGTGATGACTGCCCGAACCATCCAAGGACTTCGCCGTATCCACCCCAACACAGTTCGACAACGTTTACGTCATCACGGGATCAGACCACAACGTCCCGCCATACGGCCTATCCTGACACAACGTCATCGACAAGCTCGCCGAATGTGGTGCCGAAATCATGTCCGCAGACCCTTGTTCTGGTGGAGAAATGTTGTTTTTACAGATGAGTCCAGGTTTAACATTTCCCATAGTGATGGACGTCAAAGTGCCGATAGACACGTGGGAGAACGTTATGCACAGGCCTGTGTCTTGGAGAGGAATCGCTTTGGTGGTGGTTCAGTGATGATTTGGGGTGGAATAACAGCACGCCAAAGAACTCCTTTGGTGATTGTTCAGGGCAACTTAACTGGTGTGGGCTACATGGATCAGATTCTTCGACCTGTGGCAATTCCTTTTCTGCAATGTCATGGCCCTGGGTTAACATTTCAACAGGACAATGCCCACCCTCATGCGGCAAGGGTTGCTATGGATTTCTTGCACCACCACAACGTTGACTTACTGCCTTGGCCTGCAAATTCACCGGATCTCTCCCCGATAGAGCATGTTTGGGACGAGATAGATTGACGTCTATGCAGTCTTCCTCATCCGCCAGATAACGTCCTTGACCTTGCAACAGAACTTGAGAGAATCTGGCGTGACATCCCACAAGCCTTCCTTGCACGTTTGATAGGCTCTATGCGTCGTCGATGCACTGCTGTTCTCAATGCCGATGGTGGACTGCCCGTTATTGAGCTTGTGACATGGTCGTTTGACCCCTGTCCCGCTTGTGGACTCGTGACGTCATTGTAATTGACTTTTCAATTGAAATTCTCCCGACTTGTTATGGTCTCATGATCCCTCCATTAAAGTTTATATGTACCTTTGACATTGTTATCGTACTTAAAAACTGGGATAATATTTTGACAATGCACAGTTTCTTTATGTGGCTAGTATATAAACAAGAATACAATGAATTAAGAAACACTTTTGATTCTTACAGTCTAGGTAGATCCAAGGATGGTGGCGCATTTGCGTGTGCCAGTTCCGTTGGGTCCAGAAAAAAAACATTCTTCTCGATTACCAGGTAAGAGCTCTGTTTTCAAAGCAGAAGCAACCGTCATATTACCAACTCTTAAATGTATCAATAAACAGTCCACGAATAAACAGAATAACATATCTTCAGACTCATCTGTATCCACTTGCGCAGATGGAAGCTCATGATGTTGATAACTGGATTGTCTGGTCCAGACTCAATTATTTACAAACTGCCTCCACATAGCTGGAATATTGCTCAGTATGGCGCTAACCAACCAGCCAACCAACATCGTTTTTAGGTGTTACATCAGAGATCTAATGCAGCAGAAGTGGTACGCCCAAGTTGGTATCAATAAACTAAATGAAATACAATCAATCTAAAAACTTTCGGTTACGCCTACAAGGGCCGTCGGTCCAGATCTAAACAAGTCCTTTTAAGACGAGACCGCCTCCGTGGTGTAGTGGTTAGAGTGTCCGCCCGGAGAGCCCCGGTTCGATCCCCGACCGCGTCATACCAAAAGACGTTAAAATATGGTACTTGTTGGTCGCTGCCTGGCGCTCGGCATTAATGGGTACAGCAAGGACTGGTCGGCTCGGAGTCAGTTTAATGTGTCTGAGTGGGGTATTCATGCTTCACTGCGGCATGGTATCTCAGTGGACTAGTACTATAAAACCAGCTTCAGTCTGGGCTAGTACAAGCAGCCGCACATACACATACACACGCATGCACATCGTCATATGAGCGAAATATTCTCAAGTACGACGTTAAAACCCAATATCACCTCACCTCACCTTTTAAGACGATGTCCTGTTGACACTCTCATGAGTATTTATTAAAAGGTGAGGATCCTCCATTGTGAATCTCTTGTAATGAAAGAATCACTGTCAAGCATGTCCTGTTTGACCTGTCTTTGACTTTTTCCCTGACAAGGGATAAGTTTTCCAACGTTTCATATATGAAGCTTATTTTTTAATAATGTCAGTTTCCTTTAAATTATTCTTTTTAAATAGAAATAGTATTGCTTGGAAACATTTTCATTGACATGTTTTGTAAACAAATAGATGTTTTACTAAAACTAATAGATAAGCTTTTTAGCGGCTGTATTCTCAAAGGGGGTGAAAATTATTGTCCCCCGAGTAAGTAAGTGAGTTAAAATTTACGTCACATCGGCAATATTTCAGCCATATAGTGACGAGAAGACTGGTTATTCAAAGTATATTTATTCCCACAACGGTTTTAATTGAATGGCAAAGACAATGTTACATCAACATTGTGGAGTTTGAAAAATCCTTTCGACAGCATCCATAGAAACAGCCTATGGAAAATTATCCGCCACTACGGAATCACACAAGAAATAGTTCTCCTCACCGAGCGCTTTTACACCAACTTCTCATGCACAGTAGGCAACAGCGATATATACCAAGTGTAGACTGGAGTCAGACAGGGATGTGTCATGTCACCAGTACTCTTCAACATAGCAATAGACTGGGTAACGCGGAGAACCACAGAAGTCCAGCCAAGAGGAATCAGATGACATTATGCATTGCACTAGTTTCCCTCCCTCCTAAAGACACACACACAGAGAGAGAGAGAGAGAGAGAGAGAGAGAGAGAGAGAGAGAGAGAGAGAGAGAGAGAGAGAGAGAGAGAGAGAGAGAGAGAGAGAGACAGAGAGAGAGAGACAGAGAGAGAGAGAGACAGAGCACATCCAGGAAAAACATCTCGTCTAGAACAATGTGCAGGACAATTAGGTCTCCGAGTAAAAGCAGAAAAAGACAGATTTGATGCCTTTGAACATCTCCAATCCAGCATCTGTCCTAGTAAACGGGGAAAATCTCAGCATGACCGAGGAGTTTTCTACCTTGGCAATTTCACCAGGCACGACGGAGGCGCAGGCAGCGACAAAAAACGCCTTTGGAAAGCACGCAATGCCTTTCGTATGCTGAACAACGTGTGGAAGTCGTTACAAACTTAAACTGTACAAGAGCTGCGTACTTTCCACACTTCCTCCGAAAAGGTCCTAAAAATCTTCTGGCCCAACAATCCTGCAAAATGGAAAGTATAAATACCATCTTAACCAGAAGAAGATGGAGGTGGATTGGATATTCTCAGGATGGGACCTGGCAATAGTACACGCACTGCTTTACACTGGACCCAAGAAGGACGACGGAAGCAAGGAAGGCCAAAGAACACCACGTACAGTGGAGAGCGAACTGAAGACCCTAAACCACACCTGGCCATGGGGTACAACACAGCACCTAGCCAAGAACAGACAAGAGTGGCGATCCTTTGTTGGTGCCCTACACGCTGAAGGGCGTAACAGGGTTTTGTGGATAGTGTAAATCCATCTCTGGTTTCTACAAGGTGGTCCACCCTTAGTTGTTGGTGGTATAATAGCTCATTATTGTATTGCATTGTCTTGTCTATAAATATCGTTTTATAGTTACATTCTTGTGTTTAGTTTAAATCTGCTATAGTTTCCGTTTGCACGGAGAAGCCAAAAAAGCATGACTAGTTATGAAGACAACCACGTCTACATTGCTATTGTAGGCATGCTATTGTAGACATGCTATTGTAGTCATGCTCTGTGTGATTGACACCATTGAAGTCGCAGCCGAAAAGTGCCCCTGACCGTTTCTGCCGCCTGTCGATGGAGTGGTTGTGCTGAGTTTCTGGTAGTCATAGCATGTTTTCACTTTCTGTAACATAATGACGGCAGATAGAAAATTTGTGTTGCACGTTAATTTGTTGGCCGCCACGCTCCCGCGTGCTTGCCTGGCAGCGTTTCCCCAACCTTCTCGGTATTCTCTGGGCGTACTTTACTCAACAACAAAAATCACTCTCGAGTCTTGTTTAATCGAACGTCCATAGTCACGTGAGACTAAACTTAAAGGCAGGGATGCAAACCTTAAACAACAACATGGATTTGGCTGCTCCAGTGTCGATGTTATCTGCCCATGAGTGACAGGACTTTAACGGTTATGGGTGCCTGGCAATGTCAATTTTGAATTTACTACTAGTATAAACATGTGCCTTATAGTAAATGTCCTTCAACCTTTTCACTACATATGTTTATGACTAAAGAGTTTAATTTGATTAGCATATATGAAATTTCGCATTTTACTTATTTTCTGAAAATAAACTCTTCAACATGGTGATGTCAACATCAAATACGTGTACAGTCCTCACCCTGCACGGCATGGGGTGGGATGGGGGGGGGGGGGGAGAAAGCATTTTCACAGCCTGCCTGAAATCTGAAACTTCACCTAAAACTAACCCACTCACAGGCTTGTTTCTATGGAAACGCATCTCCTCTGGCCACCTGACTGATAGAGTGGAAAATTCAAATCTAGATTTGAAAAAAGATAACTATATTTTCAAAATGTTTTTCAGACTGTCTGCATCCCTACATTTTACCGTGAGCCTTCATAACATACTTCTTTACACTATGGCTTAATTTCATCATGAATCGGTTAGTCAGTTTTGTAATATTTCATGGAATGTACTTGAATACTGCATTGCTGTGCATCGAAAAATAGCTTCGACAAGGTAAGGAGGCCACACCCCATCTGCGTATAGGTTTGAACCCCGGCCTTTAAAAAGTGAAGTACACCGATATGTATATTTTGAAGGCACCTACGTAAATATTTCTAGCATAGGATTCGAGGTACGACACATTTGACTAAATTTAAATTACGCAGGGACCAAACTTTTATTTTGAGACAAAAAACTCAAAACATAAGCTTAACACATAAGCTCAACACACAAATGTTCAACAGGACAGCTTTTGATTCTACTGAAGAAACTGGGCTGGTTTTCTCTAATGACACTTTTGGGTAATTACATATGTTACGGTTGAACGTTGCAGCCAATCTTAGTCTTCATGCCTGCATCGGAAAGAAATGATATGATACAGAAGACTAATGCATTCGTGCATTGTGTATAAACGTTTAAACGAATTTTCGATTTTCAACTTTCTACGTCTATATATGGAATGAGCACTTCATTACAGAATGACAACGCGTTTACTAGCGATTATAAGATAAAAGCTAGGTCATACAGATCTCATTTCCATTAACCACTTTGCAGTAGTTATAGAATTTTAATAGTAAAAGTTTCTACCGTTTGAAGGTTATGTTATGTGTATGTTTTTGAGAAATAGTTGTGACAATAATGTAAAGAAAACGTTTTGCTTGTGTATGTAGCCGATAGTGCGTTATTCATCAGTCCCTACATAAGACACAAAGAATATAAGACAAAGTTTCGCAGTGTTCGACTTTGAAGTCTTACATCAATTCACTTCTTGATATGCAGGGGCGGTTGGTTACTAGGTCACGCCGAAGACCCGGGTTCGATTCCCCAAATTGATACAATGTGTGCAGCCCATTTCTGGTGTCGTGATAGCGCTTGAATATGGCTGAAAGCGGCGTAAAACCATACTCACTCACTCTTGATATGCAATCGGCATGTAGTGCTACTCGATAGTCTAAAATGATTATGACATGTCAAATGTGTCGGCAGTATAAAGTCGACAACTGGTAGTCAATAGTACCTTGTCTGTACCGAGTATAATTGATTTCCTGACAAGGACAAACTTCATCCTACGTACGCTGTTTCTTGTTCAGTGTTTTGACGAATTACTGACAATGACGTCATGGATGCTTTAAATACTGAACAAAGACTGGACGTGCAGCGTCTGGTATCCGATGTTTAGTCAATACACGTCCAAGGCTGTGGAACAACTTCCAGTGCACAGCAGGAATGCTTTAAACGTGTATGTGTGTTTAAACTTTGAAAGTTTGACACTGGTTCGATTCACTAAGCCTCAGCAATATGTTCTGAATCATGACACTATGTGAGTATTCCATCACATCACAAGACGGACACCTGCTACCAACGATTAGGTTGTGCGGTAAACACTCAAATGACGTCGTCAAATAAGTCAGAACACGTTTTGTTTGAGGATGTTTGTTTATTCATGAGTTGAAAAGGCGATCAATCTCAAGAAGATGCCTTGGTAGCCCTCTGTGTCTGAAATATGAAAACGAAATACATGTAACACCTGTCTGGTTTGTGTTCAGTTTTCCTTACCGCGATATATACTGGCCACATAAAGAAACTGTGCACACAGAAAATATTGATGTAGGCACACAGCGTCTTTGTACATAAATACAAGTGTAAACATAGCAAGTATTGGAGACAATCAAACGCTCATGCACGTGCCAGGCAACGTGACGTCATTGATGGTGACCTATGGACTTGCAATGTGTTTCTGCACGCGCAGCCCGTGCAGCTGCACACAACCTGTGAAACTCAGAAATTGCTGTCACTGTCAAAAGCTTGATTGTCAACCAAACGTTCACAAATTCATATGAGAAGTCACATGCACATCATGCCAAGATTAACATCTGCTTAACGTCATGAAGCCATTGGAATGGTTCGAGCAGGAATAAGCCAACAACAGGTGGCAGCACATTGCCAATGCCAACGTAACACGATATCTGCATTGACCAGACGTTATCGAAACACGAATGACGTCGCCAACCACCCACGTTCTGGGCATCCCCGACGTAACGACGCCAAGACAGGACAGATGGATTCCGGTGCCTCTTCTCAGACACAGGTTCCAGGTGGCAGTGACCACGTCCAAGACCATTCCCCATGCCTTCAATGCTCATTTGGTATAGCCTCTATGCGTTTTCGGTGCACTGTTGTGCTTCACGCACATGGTGGTCATACCCGTTATTGACTTTGTGACATCGTCGTGTGACGCCGTCCTCGATTTAGAACTTCTGACGTCACCGTTACGAATATTGTTCATGTTCTTTTGACATTTTGTTGTGGTCCGATACTTCAGCTTCTAAAGTGTCTACATCATTTCGTCTTCTCTGTGTTGTATTCCAATTCTGAAGGAATTTTCTGTGTGCACAGTTTCTTTATGTGGCTAGTATATATATTTTCTTTAAACACTCGCAAATCATGTGATACGTACAATGAGTGAAGCCCATTTCTAGTGTCCCCCGCCGTGATTTTGCTGGAATATTGCTAAAAGCGGCGTCAATCTAAACTCACTCACTCACTACATCACCGTGTGTCAGCTACAAATGTCAGGAAAAGCAAACACGAGGCGTGTCTAAGACGTTTACCCGTTTGGAGAGACCCACGAGCACAGGTATGGGAGTGACAAACCTGGAGACACAATCGGGGCTGACCGGGTGTCGAACCTATGAATGAGTGAGTGAGTGAGTGAGTGAGTGAGTACTGAATAGTGATGTCGGGAGAACTTCAGTTGCTTTAAAATCCCAACCATTAATCTTGAATCATAAATTTATCTCTATAACCCGTCGGCAAAGGACACAGAAATAAAAAGAGTATCACAGATATTATTTACAACACATATAGAACCTTACAATATGACAAATATCATATAAAACCTTTTCCAAATGGTGGTAAGATCACCACTCAAAGTTAGGCCGCCATACTATGAACAATGGGGACTGTGACACAGGAATCCAGATGGAAGGTTTTGTAGCATGAATAACTGAATTGTGCACATCTCCTGAGACCACTATTCCCCGTACCTCAGCGGCGTAGGTTCTAATTTACTGTAACTTACTATGTCTCCAGAGCTCCACACACGCCTGTGTACCAATCATGCCATTCAAGTTGACGTCTTGCAGTTGCTCTGTCTCCATCCACATGTATGCACCATAAGTCATCCGTGCACCTGTTTCAGAAATGAACATGTGGTGAACATGACATTATTCTTAATCATAAAATCAACCTTTATTTACTCAGTTTCTTACGGAAGCGTAGTAGGGCCACGGTGAATTTTTTTCAGTCTCATAATCATACATACTATCTCCTACGTAGGACTTAGTATCTTCTCCGTAGGACTTAGTATCTCCTCCGTAGGACTTAGTATCTCCTAGTAGATGATAAGTTCTACGTAGGAGATATTAAGTACTACGTAGGAGATAGTAAAACCAAACATTTTTCTCATCGTGGCCCTACTACGCTTCCGTATTGTCTGAACATTTAAGAGGACATTTTGCATAATTGCCATATGAAATTTACTGTCACCCACCTTGGCATCTTCTTTGATCTTTACCAAGTATTAACAGGTGTTTCAAATGAGTTTGTAACTAACCAAGTCTGACCAACACAATCCAGTGATTGACATCATGAGCATCGGTGTACGCAATTTATATGACTTTCACATCAACTAATTTAGAAAGCCTGAACAAGAGACCCATCAGTTGCCTCTTACGACAAGCCGTCACGCACAGACGATAGAACTATTCTATTTCGGATCTTCACGGGTCTCAACGCACCGTTCTACAAAACAATGGAACTCCTTTATCCTTTGGCGCCAGTCTGCACAACTAGGATACGATGAAAAGTCACCGAGCCGGACCATAAGATGGAGTCGCCTCTCAGGTCAACGGACGCTGAAGACCTCCTAACCTGGTTCTTCAGGGCAGACTGCGGATGCTCTAACAATACACGTATTATTACAGCGGGCAACAGATCATTTTTTATTTCTCAGCTCATTGGGGAATGTGCGACCGAGGGTGTATTCTGTTAATCAATACACTTAATTATACTGCGATATTGTATCACAATATCACACGTACCAGCAGACACGATATCAGAATAGTTGGTGAATTTGAAAAGAGAACAAACGGTGATATTCTTTCCAAATACCATGTGATCATTCCAAAGGTGGTGAAACTGGTTCGACAGTATCAGCGTCTTCGTTCGTTTGAAGAGACATCGCAAATGACACTGGGTGAAGGATGTTGTGTGTGTTACAGTTGTATAGGAGCAAACTGAAGACTGATATGACACACAAATAGTTCAAACACGCGTTTGAGGCTGTCGACCACAATGGTGGATATGACAACATGGAGACAACGTATCGGACGGTACACACATCGACCAGGGTGGAGCCAGACTGACAAGATGGTGTTTATAACCCAGAAACGAACTGGTCAACAACAACTGAGTATAACTACAGAATGGCGAGCCTTCTTGTCGTTGCATGCCTGCTCGGTAGTATTCACAACACAGTCTTTTTTAACTTTGCCCTTTCAGTAACAAGAAGGTTACTTGGATGTGATCTGAAGCATTACAGTATATCTGTTGTCCATGTGCATTGGTCAATGACAAATTGTATCAGCCACGAAAACGATCAACTCTTCGTGTGCAGTATACTGTCAGGGAAATCTTGATGTAAAGAGTTATTGTGTTGTAGTGACGTTGAACAAAACCCTGGCCCAGTCACTCAAGCAGCCCTTGACAGTTTGAAAGCTGACTTATCGTCTGCCCTTACTGAGATGAAGAATGTTATTCAAGGCGACGTCATGCAGCTAAAACACGAAGTTTTACATATACAGGAACACGTGAAGTGTTACGAATACAATAACTGAGCTGAAGAGTGATGTAAGTAGGCTCAGTGAGGATCAACATGTTATTGGTCTACAGAGGTAAATTATGGCTTTAGAAACCAACTGTAATACATGGTCCTTACATAGTGACCTTGATAAAACTACAATAATGATCTTTAGAAATGGATCAAAACTGTCAAAATCAGAAAAGTGGGCAGATAAATCAACTACGCTTGAAGTTGTGTCTTCCTACCAGTACCTTGGCGTATCATTGAATAGAACTCTAACTTGGTCCCTCTCTCCCGAAAACATTTCAATTAAGGCAAAGAAAGATTTAGTGTCTATTACAAAATGCCTTTTTAGCTTTAAAGATTTGCCATATGATATCGACTTCCAAATATTCGACTGTAAGATACTTCCAATAATAGAATTATGGGACTTTCATGAACACGATTGCTTGGAAAGGGTATTACTTTATGCATGTAAATGAGTCCTTGGTTTGCGAGTGTCTACACCAAATACAATTGTCCTTGGAGCAACTGGTAGATATCCTATTCATGTGTACACTCTTAAACGCTGTATTGCTTACTGGTTAAAGCTACCCATCAAATGCTTACAAAATGTTACGTAATCTAGATTTAAACGCAAGCGTCGAGTGTAATAGGTTTAATTGGGCTTCACACGTGAAAACAGTTCTATTCAGACTTGGGCCTGGCTATGCGTGGATATGGCAGGGAGTTGGAAATAAACAGCATTTCTTACATTTTCTTGTAAGAAGACGCAAAGATTGCTTTAAACGGGAGTGGCATGTAAAACTCCAAAATCCTCCCTGGGTGTTTACCTATTCCCTGTTTAAAGACAATTTCAACTGTGAACCATATGTACGATATATCAATATTAAGTAAGTAAGAATTGCCTTATGACAGTTCCATTCCGTTTATTATGATTTAGGGTGTTATAAGGGAATATTCCACAACAAACCTACTGTGTGCAAATGCTGTAAAGTAAATCTCCTGGAAGACGAATATCATGTTCTGCTAATTTGTGATCATTATAGTAACATTAGAAGCAAATATATACCCAGTTATTTTATGAAACAACCGTCAAAACACATATTTATCCAGCTATTGTCAACTGGTAACCCTATATTAATTGAAAATATTGCTTTGTTTAATTATCATGCTACTATGAAGAGAAATCCGCTCTGCTGTTGAACTTTGAATATACTTGTACTATGGGCCTGTGTATATTTAGTATATATACTCATTGATGTATCTTGTTTGTTACAGTTCACCTGACGAAGGGACAGGGAATCACACAGAAACGTTGTGACATACAATAAAGAAGAAGTTGTCATCCATAATATTTGCCTTCTAGTATATGTGGCCTTCAGTTCTGAATAAAGATTGATTGATACAGAAAATTGTAGAAAAATGTCTCAGAGTGTAAACGATTTTGGGACAAATTAGTGTGGTGGTTTTACGCCACGTATAGTTGTATGCCAACCACGTCTGGGAACGCTAGATATTAGCTTAACGCATATGGGAACCCGGGCCTTCAAGAACTTTGAACTTCTGACGTACCGGTGTGATCTTAGTCGTTCCTGTGCGACGTGTATTTCGAGAAAATAATTAAACCATGTAATACTCACCGGTATAATCCGGAGCAAGGCTCCCCGAGTGTCCGACCACAAATATCACAACAACCACAGAGGTCTTTGATGTGGCTGCATAGAGGGCAATCTAGGACCTTGCACTCGACCTGTGAACAAGGAAGGCAAGCCGGGCCTTTCATGGACGTCTCCGTGAACCCCTCCAAGGACTCACTTGTGGTCTCCAACGTGCGCTCATCCGTGGTCTCCAACGTGCGCCCTCCCGTGGTCTCCAACGTGCGCCCTCCCGTGGTCTCCAACGCTGGCCCCTCCGCGATCTTTAACCCATCCGCATAAAACAGACCGAGTATTACAACTACTATGAAGAAAGCACGGCTCATTGTGATGAGGTATGCTGCAGGTATCTCAGCTGGGAGCTCAGCTTGATGAGTTCAGTTACCACAAGTTTAAGATAAATATCTTTGGCTACGTCAAGAGGAAATTTGTGATGGACGGTGTCAGCCAAGCAGCTAGACTGCAGGTGACTGGTGACTCGTGATTGGCACTGGTGCCGAACCCATATTCCGTAACTGTCTACCAATCTCTGGCCAAATGGGATGATCAAAATTAACTATATGCTCATTTGCACATTTCCAAAGTTCCATTCATTCCCACAACGCGTTCAAATGTACCAAACTAAAATTTCATTGAACATTTATGGTTGATGCAGTTTCTTACACAACAAGAAATTGAAAAGATCCTGGAATTCAGTTTGAATTGCCGAATGTTTCTTATTAGTTTTCGATTGTGTTATTCTATACTAGTTTTCAATGTATGTCATTCTTATATTTATGTCACCACTTCAGTTATAACATCGTCTACGTTGAATGATCACTTTACAGTTATGAGAGTAACTGAAGGCCATAAACAGCAGGCGTCTTCATTCTTGTATCTTGTCACATTAAACTGCAACAGTTAAACCACATTTCAAATGACAAGCCTATAGAAAAATAAACTCGCGAATCATGATTCAGATATACTGGGCGCAGCAGATGCTGAATGACTAAAGTTGAACTATTGGGGCAGTATTGTCTTGCTGTTGTCGACGTAATGGGATGAGGCTCCATAAAGCGAATTATTGTTGATGCCCACACCTGCCAACAGTATTTCACCTGTATAGCGGCGATTAGTAATGTCTGAATCCGTAACAGACATACCTATTTATTTACTATCTGGGTATATGAAAGATAGTACATGTAATTAGTTTGTAATGCAATGAACGAAAGGCCATATGGTCAGTGACTTCATAGTTGAAACAGAAACGTTGACGAAAAGGGACATTACGTCGCACTATTTACACGCTATAGCTCTATGATCAAGTTGTCAGTTCTGACAGACGGGTGGACAGACTCTGTAGCAGGCTTAAGTGTATTTGCATCTGTGAACAAGCTCAAACAGCCGGACAGACGGAACTTCTGTAAACGTGTCAAATGCAGCCGATGGATGGATGGATGGATGGATGGATGGATGGATGGATGGATGTCGTTGCTGTATGAAGCTTAATCAAGTAGCAGATGCCGAAAGCTCTTGGTTGAAAAAGACCTCAATCATTATCATCAGTATAGAATTACCAAAATAGCATTTGTTTCAAAAAAACTATGTACGTGTAATTTAGTTGATGCCTGAGAACAACTAACGTGTTGTGTTGTCAGTTTGAAAACGTTGGGTCGCAGCACTAATCCATGAACACTCGTAAAAGACAAATTGCTCTTATTTTTCTTGTCAAGTTGGAGTTCCCCAAATTTACTATTTGTGATACTGAAGGTAACAATGTGAGTGAGTGAGTATGGTTTTACGACGCTTATAGCAATATTCCAGCAATATCAAGAAATGGGCTTCACACATTGACCCATGTGGGGAATCGAACCCGGGTCTGTCTAGCGGACACTTTAACCATTAGGCTACCCATTGTCCCGGTAACAATTTGGAACCCCATTGTTTGATTACCTTTTCTAATTTCATTATAATTTAAATTAAAGTACCAATGGCAGTGGTACAACAGCATATAATTTCAATAATTAAACAGTTAATGGCATGCAGTGACAGTGTTTATTTTGTTCTAACAGTACAATAAACCAATTCTATGATAGTTTTCAGTTCATATGTTGATTTTTCTTTGTATTTAGGCGTTGCCTTCTACAACAGCGATCACAGAGAGGACGAATCCCTTTTTTCGCTTTATTTTTACGCTATTCCACAAAAGTACACTACAGGAAGATAGTAAATACATGACCCAAATGTTAATGAGGGTTGTTACAAGGGACGTAAAGGCGAACGCTAGTCTTCAAAAGAGCGTTTGTTCACACTGATTTTATTACAAGTCTATCTCAGAACTATATCCTATATAACCGTGCCAAGACTGAACATATTGATCGATTTTGTTCTTCTGAAGCGGCTGTGTTTCGTAATTCATGAGCATTTCTCACTAATTCTCCCACGAATATTATGTTATTATCATTATCCAAATTGTTCATTGTTCGATTCCCGGTTGTGGAATGTCCTTAATGTCGGAATAGTTCATAGTGTACAAGGCTTCAATCAACACACACTGACAATTACGTACACCTATTACTACAGGTTGAAGAGCATTTGGAATGTTCATGTATGCATTATATGAATATCTTAATGTATAGCTTCAATCAACACACACTGACAATTACGTACACCTTTTGCTTTTTGCTACTAGACCATATTTGGATAACGGGACATTTTCTTCCTTCATGGCGAAACGCCATAGTTGTTCCTATTCCCAAGCCTGATAGGGATCACACAGATCCATGTAATTCCTTAACTAACTGTCTGTAAAACCATGGAGCGATGGTCAGTAATGGCTTAGTTTGGTTTTTAGAAACCAACAATCTAATCAGTGACTTACAATGTGGTTTCTGTAGAATCCGAAGTACGATTGACCATTTGGTTCCTTTGAAATCATTCGTTAAAAATCTTTTATAAAAAACAACATGGTGTATCCATCCTTTTTCATCTTGAAAAAGCTTACGATACCACTTGGAAGCATGGTATTTTAAAACATTTACATGATTTTGGGTTGAGAGGACGCTTGCCTCAATTTGTATTTAACTTTTTAACCGACAGACGGTTTCAAGTCCGTGTGGGATCAACCCTGTCAGACCACTATAATCAGCATCAGGGTGTTCCACCGGGCAGTATTTTCTCTGTGACTTTATTCAGCATTAGAATCAATAGCCTTTCAAAGGTTTTAAGTTATTCACTTGATGGATCACTATTTGTGAATGATTTTAATATTTCTTGTAGAGGTAAAAATATGCATACAACAGAGTGGAAGTAACTGTCTCAATAAAATTCAGAAATGGTCACTTGAAAACAGGTCTAATTTTTCTATAACAAAAACTAAATGTATACATTTCTGCAGAAAATATAAACCGCATAAAGACCGAGAATGATTTTTTAACGGCGACCCCATCACAGTTGTAAAGGAGGCCAAGTTCTTGGGTCTATTTTCGACTCTCATTTAACTTTTTTGCCACGTATTAAATCACTTAAAGCTTAATGTTTGAAAGCACTTGATCTGTTAAAAGTCGTTTCAAATTCTAAGTGTGGAGGGGACCAAACTACCCACCTACATTTACTTAGGTCGGTCAAAATCAACCATGTCAGCGAAACACCCGATCCTGTTAATTGCCTCTTACGACAAGCATGGGTTAGTACAGACCAATTCAAACACGGACCGAACCCGCGTTATGAAGAGAGGCTATTTATTTTAGACCTTTATGCGAGAAAACCCCTGTGCTGAGTTGGCAATAAAATATCTGATCTGTGACGTCACGTTCGTCAAGATATGGGAGGTAAGACAAAACCAGGAGAAAAACCATGGTGACAGACCCGTTAGTACTTTACGGATGCTACAACTAAACGGATGCTACAGTCGTATACCAGTCATTTGTCATGGTGTTAGCCACCGGGCCGTCTGGTCCGGATTCAGAAGGTTAACGTTGTAGCCGATCTAGTGTATTATATCACCACAGTATTGTGAGCAGTATGATCAGTGACGTCCCCACCTCCATCGATCTACCTCCTAACTGCATCGAAACGCCACTCACTGGTTAGAGTCCTTTGAGTGGACGGCTAGTTTAGTGTTGTGCGTAACTACCCAATGGGACTTTTCACAATAGACTGGATGTACAAAGAACTGGAAATATATACATACAGATTACAAAGAGTCCTCGTAAGATTACTGCCGACGTCAAAAATCAATAAAGTGTTTCGATAAAATCAACATTACCATTCAAGACAATACGATATATATCATGCTGTAGATCGCAAGCAACTGAAGGCAGATCACAACGCCAAGAACCATTCAGTACTTTTGCAATGGTAACAATGAAACGCAGTGACTGCGATTTGACAGATACTGCGCAATTTGCTTTCCAGGACATGAATTTAAAAGAGGGTATTTCACAGTTATCTTATACGGACCAGTGATGCAAGACATAGTGAAGAACCGCAACTTTCCAATGGTGCTTCGCTTCCATGAGGTCGGCTCGACTGAAAAGTAAAACAGACGGCTTCCTCTGTGCTCTTCATGACCAGTCACTTTCCACTCGACACCACCAATATATGTTTTACATCAATGTGTACATCTGTAATGCAGATTATGCAGTGAATGCATTGATACCATTCAACTCATTGTAAGTCGGTGTCCATCTTTGACAAAGACAGTATATTTGCGGCATGAAGGCGTGGCCCGATATTTTATTTACCGTCTTCGCCAAGGCATCCTTGTGGTTTTGTGTTCATCCACAGTACAACCAAGTTTCATTTTCTATCTGGGCTGACCGCCTCCGTGGTGTAGTGGTTAGAGCGTCCTCCTGGAGAGCGGAAGGTTGCAGGTTCGATCCCCGGCCGCGTCATACCAAAAGACGTTAAAATGTGGTACTTGTTTGTCCCTGCAATGCGCTCGGCATTTGTGGGTACAACAAGGACTGGTCGGCTCGGAGTCAGTATACTGTGTCTGAGTGGGGTATTCATGCTTAACTGCGGCATGGTAACTCAGTGAGCTAGTACTATAAAACCAGCTTAAGTCTGGGCTAGTACAAGCAGCGCCACATACACATACACTCGTATGCATGAGCGAACTGCTCTCAAGTACGACGTTTAACCTCATTGCACCTCACCTTCTATCTAGGCTGCGTGTAGAGAGGACAATGGTCCTGAGCTGGTGATGAACACTGGACACTCAGCACCCAGGGAGATCCGTACTAGAATTGGTTAAGGGACACAAATGTTGAATAACCAGCACCTAATCGTACCTCATCACCTTGATGACTCGTACCCCAAAAGGCGAAAATGTACCAAATGCAAATACA